AGAGAGAGAGAGAGAGAGAGAGAGAGAGAGAGAGAGAGAGAGAGAGAGAGAGAGAGAGAGAGAGAGAGACACAGGGTATCAGCGAGTGTTGCTGTGCGCCACGGCGTAGCCGTGGCCGGGTCCACTTGTGGTTAAAAACTTAAAAAGACTAAAGGAAATGGAAAATCTACGGTGCCCAGGCCTGGTAGAGGTTCGGTGGGGAAGGAGGGGAAGGATACCACAAATATTTTTCCTCACGGCGGCACTGCAGATTTCAGGCTCGGGAAAATGCAAATTTTGGTTTGCCAAAACAGGTCCGGATGGAGTGGTGTTTAAGATAGCACTTCCATCCACCAACTCATTAAAAAAAAAAAACACAGTTCCACAGTTTTCCCTGCAAATCATTTCTCCCGTGAACCACATATCAGCCCTTAACAATTTTCGTTGACACCTCAAGGAACCATGCTCCATCACAGCCCTTACAATTTTCGTTGACATCAAACCTTACAAAACACTACAGCATCAGCAGTAGACAACGACCACGACGAAGAAGAAGAAGAAGAAGAAGAAGAAGAAGAAGAAGAAAAAGAAGACGAAATTATTGTTGACGTCACAAAAACCATATCCACTTGAGAAGTTCCTGTTGCCTGCCTTCCTACCAACATTCCAACAGGCCTTTCCGCTCACATAAACTGCTGCACAGGACCACCTCTCTCTCTCTCTCTCTCTCTCTCTCTCCTGTCTCTTATACACATCTAGATGTGTATAAGAGACAGGGATATGGCAATCCACAGAGGGCGCGCAGGTTCTTCTCCACATGGTCGAGCCATGCAATTGCCTTCGCCGTCCATCTGGCAAGGTAATGAGCCAAGGCTGTCCCAAGTGGACCCCTCCCTGGACCTGGGCCAACTCCCGGTCCTGCTCCAAACCCCCCTCGAGTTGACCCTGCTCTGATCCCTGTGACATCCAGCGCCCCTCCTCGAAGATGACCCCACAACTTGGCACCCCACCTACTACTCCCTGTGTTTCCTAATCTGGGAAGCTTGGGATGGGTTTCTTTTCCTGCCGACGCCTCTGCAATCGCCGTCTCCTGGGCCTGCTGCTGCGCCTTCACCACCACTCCTCCTCCATGGGCCTCTTTACCACCAGTTGGCAGGGCCGTGGCTGCAGTTCTCCTGCCGGATCCATCAACCCTTTGTGCATCGTCTTTCTGCACCCCTTGCTTGTCCTTCCATCTCAACTCCTTGGCTCTTAGAGCTGTCGCTCTCTCTCTGATACCCGTCAACAAGTCTTCCGCTAATTGGCTCCAAGCGCCCGTCACCTGAAGATGCATCACGCAGATCAACCGTCATCCAGCCGTGCCAGATAACATCCACTCATCCATCCGTTCATCAGTCGAATCCAACCCTCATCCAACAAATACAATAGTTTTTGCTGCAAAACATTTCTCTTACGCCAAAAAGGCCCTCGCACAATTAACAGTTCTTGCTGCTGCAAATCATCTTTTTTTGTTCGTATTGTTTTCTTTTCAGAAAAAAATCCACTCGCATGCACTCAAAAGACACCCATAGCAGGGAAAAAGAAACAGACAAAAATGATACCCATAGCACAGATCCCAGCATAGCTTTGAGAACCTGGAGCTTGCTTGCTCCGGGTTCTCCAGGTTCCGGAAGCGATGCTTCAATCATCAACAGAACAACACCTTTTTTTCCCCCTTACAAGAGGGACAGGATTGAGGTACCTTGACTGGTCCTAGGAAATTCAGAGATTTCATTCATATATTGCTTTCTATTCCATTCGGATTCAAACTCAACAATGTCTATCAACAATCATATAGGTACGATTCAGCCTCACGGGGTAGGTAATGCCGTAGATTTTTGGTGGTAATAAAATTATAAACTGATATTTAGTATTTACATTTTTGGAAAACAACAAGCCCTTTATGGCATATTCGCCACTATTCTTCTAGCTTTAGTTTTTACTGCATTTCAAGGAATGGAATGTGAGGATTGAGCAGGAATATGTAGACGCTCCTTTTACCATTTCCGATGGGAAATATGGCTCTACATTCTTTTTAGCTGCTGGATTCCATGGCTTTGTTGGAGCAAGATTATAGAAAATTTATGTTCCGAATTTCGAAAAGAAAGGGTTTGCAAATCATTCCCTGTTCTTGGGAGCTGGGACCGTTGGTAATTAAACTGACGATTAAAAAAGAAGTTGAAAAAAAAACAAATAGCAAATATTTTGCCATATGCGTTGAAAGATCCTTCATCCCAAGTATTGTGTCTGCTCACAGGCAGTAAATTGACGCTTTATTTTTATTTTTTTTTAAACACAGTTTCTGCTGCAAACTAGGCTACCAGCCCGGCCACCCGGGCCACCTTGTTTGAACGGGCGGCCCGGCCGTGCAAGGGAAACGAAGGTCCCAGCAAAAACAAAACCAAAAAAAAAAAATCAAAGAAATCTCAAAAAAAAAAAAAACCTATGTTATGAAGAAAAATAAACTGAACAGCTTTTGCCTCGGGGTCACATCGAAGTTCCTTACCAAATTTTAAATAGAACGACCGGGCGCGAAGCGAACATAACTCTCTTTTTGACAAACAAAGCCTAAGGTTTTTTTTTTTTTTTTTGGGGGGGGGGCGGACCGGGCAGCCACTCTGGTAGCCTACGCTGCAAATCATTTCCCTGCAAATTATTTTTCTCGAATGCTCTCAAAAACCGTCCATCTAATGCATTGTGTATCTGCTCACACGCATTTATTACACAAATGTGTTAAATTAGCAAATGTATTCGTCCATCAAAACAGGAAAGATACAATCGCCGTTTTCCACATTTGACAAGACATAGAGCAAAGATACAATCGCCGTTTTCCACATTTGACAAGACATAGAGCAAGGCCCTAAAACGTTTTGCGACCGCCCCGGCTAGCACGAGGCCTGCCCTTTTTCAGCTGGTCCATTAGACTGGCAAGATCCAACACCCACGTATCTTCCTTTTCCCTCCCAATCTGCAAGGGTACACCAGACTTTTTCAGGACGACCGGTCCCGGTCCAGCCAGAAACAAAAGCTGGCGTCGAGTACCGGGTGGTTACATCATGTTGACAACAACAGTACGGTCCGAGCTACTATTCCTAAGCAGGTCCTGCCTCTGCGAAAAAGGATCCAGGCCAAAGAGTGCCCCGACATCATTTTTTGGACCGCGCTTTGTAACTTTGCGAGGACCCGGGACGAGATGTGGAAATTCACCGCAGACTTGATAGTAGGCACGTACGTACTGTTGGAGTTTGTATATAAGCAGCTTCTACGAGTTACTCTACCTTCTTTTGCAAACGGTGTTCGGTAGTTGTCCGCGGCTGACTGTGTCAGCCGTGGGCAATTACCAAGGTCTTTTGTCGAAGAGATTGGATCCTGGGTGTGTGCGGCTAAGACGGTGGTGATTGGCGAAGGGAGTTGTGCCTAATCTTTTCAAATATTACCCGTCTTCATTGCCTTGTTTTGTGTGTTCTCACCTCTAAACGACCACTCCAACAGCCCCTCCACTGCTTATGTTTTCTTGTCATCAAGTACTGGGCCAAATCTACAGTGCCCGTTCTTCGCGACATCATTAAAATTGGAACAGACATCGTTAAAATTGGAACAGACATCGTTAAAATTGGAACAATACAGAGAAGATTAGCATGGCCCCTGTGCAAGGATGACACGCATAAATCAAGAAGTGGTCAAAAAGATTAAAAGATGCGCATAAATCGAGAAATCTCTATACTCCTGAAGCAAGCAAAGGGCCCAGCGTGACGCGTCCCGCCGGGCCCAGCGAAAATCGGTGGGGAGGGTTGCGGGACCTGGGCAAGGAAAATCGACGAGGCGTTTCGTGTCCGCGCCGCGAGGGACTTGGCCGTGGCTTTTCGCAGAGGGCGTGGGCAAGGGGAAAAGGGTGGGCCAAGGTGCGAAAGCGCGGCGCGCGCGGAAATTGACCGTGGCGGTTCGCAAAAAAGGGCGG